AAGAGCTTGGCTGCTAACCAAAAGGTTGGCAGTTCAAATCCACCAGCCGCTCCTTGGAAACCCTATGGGGCAGTTCTAGTCTGTCCTATAGGGTTGCTATGAGTCAGAATCAACTCGACGGCAACAGGTGGTTTTTTTTTTTGGGGGGGGGGATTTATTGCTAGTTAGTCGAGGATACCAGTCAATGACATGATTTCTAGGATCCTTTTTCTCTGCCACTATTTCACTCTTAATCTCAAAATTTTTACCCATTTTTCCAATTCCCAGCTCCTTCCAGATCTATCTTTTACCACCGGCTCATAAAGTCTATCCCTTTCATAAACTGGATTAATGCTTATTTTAATAATATTCATGTGGATGCCATCTCTATTAAAGACAGAACTTACATGTACTATGTTATTAACAAAAATGATCTAGTTGGGATAATGGTTAGTGACATACCTCATCAAATATGACATATCTAATCCTTTTCACCCACTTTTGTGCATGAGGTGATAGCAAAAGCATTTCCAAACACTGAGGGACTGTCACCAATATCTGTCAACAAACAGTAGAGAACCATTACACTGATTTTTTGATAAAGCTTAGTTTTAACATTTAAGCATTAATAAGAAACTTTAGATGACACAGTGGGTTCACAATGACATTTCCATGTTTAATCAACAATTTCACTTATAGAAAGTAAAATGAATTTGTGTAAAAGATCCCTGTGTGTGTTGTAGCTGATGCATTCAAAAGAAGTTAAACTTGTTTCATTTAAAAATATTCTCCCACACATTACATTGGGAACATAAAATCATCACAATTTGAAGCCCTCAGCATTACAGTGAGCTGCTTGTTCATGTTGAAATGTCAGAAAAGGAGCATTCTACTTTTAGCAGAAAATGTGAGTTTGAAAGTTAACCAAATTATTAAATGAAAAAATCATATAAATAACTTGTTCAAATATGAATATATTCATCAGGGTAATTTTAAATTTAACTCATCATCCCAGTAAAATCTTGACATGCCTAACTGCAATGCAGTTAGGTGGGTGATTATAATATGTATGTATATGCATACACACACACACGCACACACACGCACACACACATGCGTGTGCACACACACACACACGCGCGCACACACACACACACACGGTTGTTGTCAGCTGCCTGTGAGTGAATCCCTCATTGTGATCCACAGGGATTTCATTGGCTGACTCTCAGGAGTAGGTCACCAGGCCTGTCTTAGTCTGGAAGCTGTGCTCACATCTGTTCAGCAGCATACAGCCCCCAAGCCTCCACTGACAGGCAAGTGTGACTGTGTTTGAGTAGCTTGGCCAGGAATTGAACCTAGGACTCACTCAAGGAAGATGAAAACGCTACCACAGAACCACCATTGCCTATATATATATATATACACACACACACACATACGCACATCACACATATATCTCCACACATAAAAACACGCACCATTATTCGTCATGTGTGCGTGTGTTTGGCATACCTGACAATTCAAGGTGTCATGACGGTAATCTCTTGTAAATACCCCACACAGCACTAAGCCTTTTGGCAGTGTTTTGTTAAATAAATTGCAGACAGTTCCCACCACTTGATTAACAAGTGCCTCAAGTCATAAAAGACACAATAAACTGTTATTCAGTAATTATTGACAATATAAAAAGATTTATCTAAAGTAGACTGTCTGGAACAGTTTACAAGTAAAGACAAGACTGTACTGATTTTATAGAAGTTTATTAAATAAAATAATCCTTATGTATGAAATGTTCCCCACTAGGTCTATTTTAACATTTTACTTAATGTACAATATATCACACACAGAGTTTACTGATGTTATATCTAGAAAGCAACCCCCCCCCAAAATTTTTATGCCACATCAACAAGATGAATATTTGCACAGGTAACATAGATAATGTTTTGATTATCATAATATACGCTATTACAAAATCTGATTTTCTATGCACATTACTTAATTTCGCCAGCCTCAGTTTCCTCATCTGTCAACTGAGGGGACTGGACCCTCTGACAGAGATGTTCCATCTCACGCCTAACAGTCTCATTCTTCTCTCTTCTCAGGACATCTTTAACACTGGCGATTAAATATTCTGCTACAGAAAGCGAGAGGAGGAACACCCTGAATCCTTTTCTAAATAAAGAGAAAAATTCTGATTTAGTCAAGAGTCACTTGACTTTATTTTGCCCAGGTTGCTGTAAAGAAAGGTATCTATAGCCCCTTGCGAAAATCAGGAATTACTCTACAGAGCATTTATTCAACCACGCCTAACCATTGCCGTAGAACGGATTTCGACTCCTGTCGACTCCATGTGTGACAGAGCAGAGCTGTACCGTAAGGTTTTTTTGGCTGTAATCATTACGAAAGCAGATCACCAGACCTTTCTTCCACAGTGCCCATGGGTAGGTTTGAACCACAACCTTTCAGTTAGTAGGGAAGTATAATTTATTTAAATAACAGTTGTTAAGAAAAAGAAGGCATGTTATGCTGAATTTCTCACCGCTCTGAACATATTACCCGTTCACTTAAAACCGGGTCAGGAAAAGACAGTAATATTATTAAAAATACTCCAAAATGTCTAACAAGGCAGTATTTTTTAACCCTTTCCATAGATATTTATCCAACCACAGAGCTGGCGAAACTGAGAACAACTGTTCTCTCTCCCTCTGATGGATCTGTCCATATTAAGTCACTTGGCCCTGCTCCAGATTTCAAATGTTTTGCTTTAGCAGGATTCTCTAAACGGTCAAGTCCTGTCTTATAGTGCTGAGCCTAAAGTTCTAAGAAGGTTTAGGCACTTATTGATTGTCGTTGGGACCCGGACGCTATTTTAGAAGATTTACGTGCATTATTTCATTTAATGCTCAGAACAATAGTTTGTAGGTGAAGAAACTAAGGTAAGAAAGTGGTTCAAGTCTACACAGTGTATGAGCCCTCAAACCCCTGACTGTAACATTGGAACCTGTACACTGGGGTACCTCTCTATGATTTAGGGCATATGACCACCAGTGAGAAAAATTACCATAGGTATACAGTGTCATATGGACAAGATACCTTTGTTGGAGAAACATATACCACCACCCCTTCATCGCTCTCTCTCAGTATTTTCTCCATGCAGTACGAAGAAGCATAGGTTTTCCCTGATGAAGTTGGAGCAACAATCACAGCAGATTCATTGTTATCTACAACATCAAGAAGTTCCCTCTGAAGAAGAAAAAAAAAAAAAATCACATTTTTTATTGAAAATACATGTTTAATGTCAAATTTTAATTGAACTTCAATTAATATCTAAAGCTAATTAGTATTCACAGCTCCTTCTGAGACAGATTAGTATTTAAAATGGACAGTTGGTTATGGGAATCACTAGTTTCTGGGGTTTTTTTGTAAATAACTCAATTCACATCCCAACTTCTCCTATAAAACACCTCACTTAGATTTAAAAAAATAAAATAAAAATCCTAATAAGTCAGACCCGGGCGATCTGTCAGTTTGGTGTTTTCGATCCCCTCATATGCATACAAAAGCTGGGCAATGGATAAGGAAGATGGAAGAAGCATTGATGCCTTTGAATTATGGTGTTGGCAAAGAATATTGAATATACCATGGACTGCTGGAAGAACAAACAAATCTGTCCTGGAAGAAGTACAGCCGGAGTGTTCCTTAGAAGCAAAGATGGCAAGACTTCGTGTTACATGCTTTGGATACGTTATTAGAAGGGATCAGTCCCTGGAACAGGACATCATGCTTGGTAAAGTAGAGGGTCAGCAAAAGAGAGGAAGACCCTCAACAAGATGGACTGAAGCAGTGGTGCAACAATGGGCTCAAGCGTAACAGTGATTGTGAGGTTGGCGCAGGACCAGGAGGTGTTTTGTTCTGTTGTACACAGCGTCACTATGAGTCAGAAGTAACACAATAGCATCTATTAACAAAACAATAAGAAAGACATCATTGCAAGATGTCTGCTTGGGATCCTTTGCAGCCCAGCGCTCAGCGATCTTTTTAACTTAAATTGGGGGATCTCCAGCTGAATTTAGGATTGGAACAACAATCTGCTGTTCTTTGCCTCTCCATTTTTCTATCCGTAAATTAGAGTCCGAAAAGAGCAATTTTCAAAAAAAAAAAAAAAAAATACGTATAATAGGCCATACGTTTGATATATTATGAATGACTCTGCCGTTTAACATTTGGATAATCTCTAAGCATCACTACTTAAAAAAAAGAAAAAGGAGACTGTTGCCAAATGTGTATTATTAAACGTGAAGCACATTTTATATGTGAAATTAAGTGAATATAGGCGATAATTACCTAGAGTAGCGGTTAAGACTCTCTAGTTTTTAATCCAAAATCTATCATTTTTTTTTAAGTAGTGGTGCTTTCAGATTGCCCAAATGTTAACCAGCGGAGTCATTCATAATCTATTATAAACATATGGCCGATTGCATGTATATATATATATGTATATGGATTTCATTTCAATTGACTCTTTGCTGGGTTCCTTTATCTGCTGGGAAAAGGTACGGTCTACTTTCATTGTCATTGTGTTCCATTATGAAATGATTTACATTCCACAATACACACAATAAGATCCAAACCATCCTATTCCATCAAGTTTCTTTGCTACTCCAGGCTACAAATCTTTTAGATAAATACCTGCCATGTGTCTGGTATGAAATGATGCACCCTGGGATCAGGATCACTTCTTTCTCCTCGAAATAAGTACCGGCCCATGTGCGTTAACTGAAACCGTGCTGCTCCCATGCAAACTGAGTATTTAGAAATATCCTTCTCAATACCTGACTCCTTTACCTAAAATATGCATTATATATTAGGATTCCAGGCAATTTTATAATTTTAAACTCTGGACATAGAAAATGTACTACCAACCATATTATAGTTTTATTTATCTCCACATGATCATTACTTCATATTTCTTTCAGTATCTGACACATCTTAAATAAGCTTTATGAGACAATTAGAGGAAATCAAGGAAGAGTGTATTTTTATTCCATTTACTATATTCACTATTCTGATACATGGAGCATAAATAAGTACTGTATTTTCACTATAATGTTTAGAAAAATGCAGCTTTATGTGGCAGAACCATGTGCTTTAAGAATATATTTAAATGCAATATATAAAATTATTTTTTAATTACAATATGTTTATTCTTTATTATTGCTAACTTATGAACAATTCCCAGATAAAAGTTGTGTTTCAGTTAAGGAACTCATGCTAATCTTAAAAGGGTGTATTTGGTAAAGAACATTTTCTTATAGGGACCCACATAATTAGTGTGCATTATCTTACAAATAAAATTATTTTACTCAAAATATACTACTCATTGGTAAACAACCACCACCACAAAGAAATCCACCATCACAAGAAGTTCACGTATATGTCATAATCTCCATTCTTAAAATTTTGATAACCCTTGAATATGGTAATATTATCAAAGCTTGGGAAATGAAAACTTATATACTGAGGTATTCTCATTGAGAATCAACCATGAAACATGTTTTGAAACATTGAGGGCTGAAAGCAAGAAAAACTTCCACTTAAATATTGCCAAAAACATATATTATTTCAATTGCCAGTATTTTGTTTTCCATTTACGTTCTGGATCATGGGGGAAAAAAAAGTAATAGAACTTCTGTTATGCAAAGAGAAAGCAAATATTCTTTCTCGATCTGGAGCACTTTCAAACAGTCGGTAGCTAGATTTCTGTCTGTCTTCATCCTCATCAACACGTTTTCTTTTAAAGGGAACCGCTTTCCTAAAGCTTATAAGTTTATTTTAGGAAGACCCTTGCTTCCAGTTTTCCATAAATGGGAAATCATGATCCCTCCTCTGTGGGAAAATAAGCTATATGGCCTTGTAATATGAGGCAGGGACAGAATGACCAGAGACAGAGATGTCTAATCCACTCTATGGTCGGGTTTGGCGTATAAACTCATCTCACATTCTGCATTAAGATATTGTCCTCTGTTGTAATCTGTTTCCATATCCACAAGACCTCAAAAGCCTGGTTAAATATGGCAGTCAAATTTCAGCTATGGGACTTGGGGATCAAGATTCAGGTGTGTGTCGATGCGTGATATGAAGCATAATAAGCCAAAACCAAACCCACTGTCATCTAGTTGATTCTGAATCATGGTGACCCATGTGTGTCAGAGGAGACTGAACTCCATAGAGTTTTCAATGACTGTAATTTTGGCACTGATGGGTGGATTAAAACCTCCAACTTTTCGGTTAGTAGCTGAGTGCAAATCATTTGCACCACCCAGGACCCTTGAAGTGTAGTAGAGGAAAAGAAAAACCACCCGAGAAAATGGGTCTCAAGCAGTCCAGAGGCATTTGCAGAATTGCCAAGGAGTTGTTCAAAGTCATCTGGAAGCGAAGGGAGCCAGACCCAGCTAGAAAGGATTAGTGGACCATGTTAGCAATCTTCAGGAATGGGCAACATAGCAAAGCCTGAATTCCTGTGGCCACTCAGCGTGGAGACGTAGGGAAGTTCGAAAGCCATTACAGGAACTACTGACTGAGGACAAAGTATAAGGCTAACTGTGCCTTCTCTCACCGGCCAGTTATCCTGAGTTGATGCCTCTCACTCTCTATTCCTGTCTTAACAAAAAGTATCCTCACTTTACTGAGATCAAGTAGTTGCAGGAGTGCAGCCCCCCTTTTCCTAAATATACTATATTTGGTGTTCTCATATCATTACTTAGAGAGATATTTTATCTTAAAACGTATTTCTCTTCATTCACTAAGAGTAAGATCTGATGACAAATAAGGAGTTTAAAGGAGTCAGTATATGTGAAAAATATTCAATAGAAATAACTGTGAGATCTTCCAAGAAAAAAAAATGAAGCTGATCCATGTCTCTGAGGATTAATTTTCATTCTTTCCAGAGGTCTTCAGAAATTTCTGAAGGTAAGTAGACAATATGATTTGCAGACAACAATCACATCTACAGGCGAACTCTCCCCTTTCCTTCACCCATCCCCCTTCCTTTCTTCCTTTCATTTACTGAACACATATTTTAAAACTTAACTGCATGAGAGGCACAGAAAGAAACCATAGAGAGAAGGGTCCTGCTCTGCTGGAATTTACATTCTACTTTAGGGAAACCAACAACAACCAAATGAACAAAATGTAAGCAAAGAAATTCAAATCGTGATATATGCTGTTAAGAAACAGAAATAAGGAAATGTCTTATATGCGTCCATGGGTAACGGAGAAAAGCCATTGGGTGGTCTCAAACCAGATGACCATAAATGCTTCTCTGATAAGGTGATGTCTCACTTAAAACATTAACAAACAAAAGAGCCAGCTAGGTTAAGACCTGAAAGAATAAACACGCATACAGGAGAGACAGCTAGTGCGAAAGCGCTGAGGTAAAAATGAGATCTGCTCACTCTGTAATAGAACGTTGGGAAATGGAATTGGAGAGGTAAAAAGGAACCAGATAAGAAGGGCTTTGTGGGCCTTGGGAAAGAATTTATTCTAAGTAAGATGCGAAGTCCCTAGAACATTTTCAGTAGGAGAGGAACATGTCGTGACTCAAGATTTACAAGATTGCCACCATACTGGGAATGAGTTGTATGGGAATCAAGAATAGAAATTGAAGGAGAAGTCAGGAAATAATTGTAGTATTTACAGCCAAAAAATGATAGCTTGGACTGAGGTAGTGGAGGCAGAGAATTAATAGACCTGGGATATACTTTGAATATGGAAGGGCCAGGGTGTGTTGAAGGATTGGAAATAAAGGTCTGTGAGGGAAAGAAAGGAATGAAGGATTCCTAGGTTTGGGGACTGAGCAGTTGAGTGGACGGTGGTGAATCTACTAAGATGAAGACACTAGAAGACAAGCAGTTAGGGGTAGGGAAATCAATCCTTGATAAGAAATTTTAACTTTGATATGTCTATTCGATATCCAGGTGGAGATACTGAGTCCCTCCTTGGATTGATGAATTATCCATAAATCAGAAGAGGAGAGGAGAGAAGTCAGAGATGGAGATATGCATTTGGAATTCATTTGCAAATAGAGAGAAGAGAATTTAAGTCCATTAATTAGATGAGATTGCCTATTGAGGAAGTATAGAATTCAAAGTTAAACTCCATTGTAAGCTCTGTAGAGGAAAATTAAAAAAAACAAAAAACTCTATAGTAACCCCAGTGCCTAAAACAGTCTCTGGTACTAGGTACTCAATAAATATTTGTTGAGTGAATAAATTACAAAGGTCTCAAGGCAACCTACTATATATTTGGACATGCTACATTCTTATATGAATAAAAAATTTATTCTAGGTACATATATATCCAAAACAATGTTAGATCTGTACCTATCCATGATGATATGTAGTTAACCATTAACTATTGATTGAATCTAATATATATTTATTCTAAATACATTCCATAAAATACTTCATACACACACACATGAATGTCATGTAACATGTTATATAGCATTTACCTGAGGACAAAATGAGTGTGCCAAGTTGTCAAATCTGATATATTTTAAATATTTAGCTAATTTTTGTTGATGTGAATTTTGTAATAGTTCTGAGTATTTATCATAGATTACGTGAATCCTTTTCATCATCTGAATTATTATGTTTACATCTTTAGTTTCTGCTTCTGTTGAAGTAAAACATTTGTGTGCATAATTTAAGTCAGGCCAGATATTGGTGACAAAATGCACTTAGCTTTATTACAGGAAAAATAAAAGCTTATTCATATGAATCACTCAAAAGAATCAAGGGACTCAGAACTACCAGTATTGCAGACCAGTTAAGAGTGTGGACTCTGGAGTTAGGCTAGACTCGCCAGCTTTAACAAACGAAAATAGAGGATACACATTTGGGGGCAAATATTGCATGCCATATACTTTTACTAAAAAAAATTATTCATTGTTTGTCTGAAATTCAGATTTAACTTACCTGTGTTTCATTTAGGTCCTTGGAAAGCTACCTCTCTAAGCCTTATTTTCTTTATATGCATAAAGGGGATACTGACAATAGGTCTTATCTTATAAATGCATTAGAAGGATTGAAGAAAACAATCCAGGTCAAATGACTATGATAAGGACAATAGTTATTATAATCATTAGGATTTAGATTTCGTCTGGGCTGAACTAAGATCTTCTTTTTTAAGAAGATGGCCATTCCATGTTTTACTTTTAATACTTGCTTTCCTGTGACCCCAGTTAAGGAATAAGTACTTTCATCTTCTCTCTGATCAAAAATGTTCATTCTCTGGCCTTCATCCACAAAACTGTGTTTGTATCCCAATTTAAGGATTATTTAATTTGTGCATATACTTTGGAGCTAAAGTTGTGTGTTAAATTTTCCTTGCTCTGTCACTGACATTTAAACACGTAATTAGTCTTCCTGGAATCCCTATTTCTTGTGTGTAATATCAGGGTAATGGAACCTACCTCAAAGAATTGTGAGAATTAAATGATATGTATAATTCATATATTTCAATTAATGAGATGTATGTATTTCTTAGAAGATAGCAAATGATTGTTAAATATTCATCAGTCTTGTTGTTGTCTTGGTTGTGGTTATTGTATCCTGGTACATGTGGGGTGACGTAGATGGAGCATGTGCCCAAGTCCCTTGAGAAACTAATCATTCAGATCCTTAAGAGCAGGAAAGACAGAGGAAACTCAGGGTGGAAAAGAGGAATGTGCTGTCACATTGTAGGAAACTAGTGTCACATGACAATACGTGTATAAAATTTTGTATGAGAGATTAACTTGAGCTGTAAAATTTCACCTAAAGTACGATCAAAAATTTAAAAAAGATCCTTAAGAGCAGGGACTTTGCTCTTCCATTCAGAAGTACCATAGGCACCCAACCTGGTACTCAGTACTCATGGCTGGCTTTGAAGAATTGTTTGCTCAATTGAATTTCAAATCAAATCTATCCACCAAAATCTACCACATACTACAACTGTGATGTTATTACTGGATCAAGCAAAAGCATATCCTCTTCTTCTTTAGACATCAAAAGTAGCTCCCAAAATGAGTACATGACAGAAGAATCAGAACGTGTGGCTAATGCCATTTCTTTTACTGTCTGATTGTTGTTGCAAGTCGTCATCGGGTCAATTTTGACTCATAGTGACCCCATGTGTGTGGAGTAGAACTGCTCCATGGAGTTTTCAAGGCCAAGACCTTTCGGAATCAGATTGCCAGGCCTGTCTTCCAAGGCAATCTTTTAGTTAGTAGTCCAGTGTTTTACTATCTGTACCACCAGGGACTCCTTTGCTCTGTCCTCACTAACATTTTATTCAAGAAAGTTCTAAAATGAATATATGCATATACCTGACTTTAGACAGTATTCCACCCATGATCTGAAACAGGCCTCCAATCCTACCATTTCAGCAATAAATTTTACGGACTTAACAGGGCATCTTTGGAGAAAATCTTCTAGTCTTTGCATTCCAGAATTAGGATCCCCTTTGATTTCCTTTTCAATGGACAGGGACAAGTTATTTCATCTTTCTTCCTCCCTTTTTTCTAGTTTAGCTAGCTGTCTTTTTTGATTTTCTTCAATAATTTTTTTCTAGAAAAGAAAGAAATAGAAATAAAAATCAACTAAACAATGAAAACAATTTTTTTCAAGATAATACACTTAACATTTTTTAAAGAAATATTTAATATCTCGAGCCATTAGTTTAATTTGCCATTTCCTTTCTCTTTCTTCTCAGCTACTATGTCTTTTAATCCAGTGTGTAGACACTCAGTGTTCCTTCATTCCAGGTCCAGGAAGTCGAGGCTAAGAAAAGCCAATTCAAACTAATACCCAGTTGGGATAAATATCTTTTCTCAAGATCAGACAAACTGTGGTATAATCACAAACTACTTTGTAGTGCAACATACTATATAGAAAACCAAATGAAACTTTTGCCCAGTGATTTCCAGAAGAATTCTACTAAGCCTGAAAGGAGAATAATCAAGACTGTTCTAAATATTGGCAAAATCAGATTTAATATTCCCATATCTGGATTATTGTATGCAACAGAGAACTTCCATAATTGCTGGAGCCAATCTTTGTGGTGCAATTTCTTATCCAGAATCCAAGGCATGTGTATATTAGTTAGCATTCCACCATCCTCTACCTCTCAATCTGGAAACACTGGATCATCTCAAGGACTCTAAATCACTGATTTAGTGATATTAGATCTTCTTGAGAATGGCAAAGCCTAACCTTATGTAAAAAGAGATCCTCAAAATTTGTGGTCTTCAGGGACAACAGCCAGAAAATTAAACTTCCTTAAACACACTGATAGAGTGTAAAATAGACACTAAGAAAATGTGTTCAACATACATAACAAAGAATACAACGATCTAAACACACAAAGCATTCAGCAATCAATAATCAAAAGAAAAATACTACAGTAAATAGTAAAGGATATAAAAGAGAATGATAGAGGAAGAAATATAAATGGAATGTAAAATTTGAAAATATACTCATATCACCCAGTGATCAAAGACATGTATATTAAAAGTCATTATTTGTAAGAATACCAAAAAAAAAAAAAACAACAAGAAAGATCTCTCATATCCTGATAATCATAATCATTAGAGCTGAGTCTTTAAAATGGCAGGCTCCAGAGTCAATCCTGGCCCTGTCACTCACTATGTAACTTGTTGCTGTTAGGTGCCCGTGAGTCAGTTCCCGCTCATAGCCACCCTATGTACAGCAGAATGAAACACTGCCTGGTCCTGTGCCATTCTTACAATCATTGCTATGTTTGAGCCCATTATTGCAGCCACTGTGTCAATCTGTTTCATTGAGGGTCTTCCTCTTTTTCTCTGATCCTCTACTTTATCAAGCATGAAGTCCTTCTTCAGGGATTGGTCCTTCCTGATAACATGACCAAAGAATGGCAGACAAAGTCTCGCCATCATCCCTTCTAAGGAGTATTTTGGCTGTACTTCTTCCAAAACAGATTTGTTTGTTGATCATGTTGAATATTTTTTGATATGTTGCTGAATTCTATTGGCTAGAATTTTGTTGACGATTTTTGCATCAATGTTCATAAGGGATATTGGTCTGTACTTTTCTTTTTTTGTGGTGTCTTTACTTGGTTTTGGTAACAGGGTTATGCTGGCTTCATAGAATGAGTTTGGGAGTATTCCGTCCATTTCTATGCTCTGAAATACCTTTAGTAGTAGTGATGTTAACTCTTCTCTCAAAGTTTGGTAGAATTCTCTAGTGAAACTGGGTCAAGGCTTTTTTTGTTGTTGTTGTTGGGAGTTTTTTAATCACCTTTCCAATCTCTTCTTTTGTTATGGGTTTATTTAGTTGTTCTACCTCTGTGTTAGTTTAGGTAGGTGGTGACTTTCTAGGAGTTTGTCCATTTCCTGTAGGTTTTCAAATTTGTTAGAGTACAATTTTTCATAGTATTCTGTTATGGTTCTTTTAATTTCTGTTGGGTCTGTTGTGATATCACCCATCTCATTTCTTATATGGGTTATTTGCCTCCTTTCCTGTTTTCTTTTGTCTGTTTGGCCAATGGTTTGTCAATTTTTTTGATCTTTTCAAAGAACCAGCTTTTGGTGTTGTTAACTCTTGCAATTGTTTTTCTATTCTCTATTTCATTTAATTCTGCTCTAATTCTTATTACTTCCTTTCTTCTGGCACCCGAGGGCTTCTTCTGCTGCTCTCTTTCTACTTGTGCCAGTTGCAGGGTTAATGTTTTGATTATGGACCTTTCTTCTTTTTAGATGTGTACATTTATTGCTATAAACTGCCCTTGAGCACTGCTTTTGCTGTGTCTCAAAGGTTCTGGTAGGATGTGTTTTGATTCTCGTTTTATTCTATGAATTTCTTTATTCTGTCCTTAATGTCTTCTATAACCCAGTAGTTTTTCAGCAAGATGTTGTTCAGTTTCCATGTGTTTGATATTTTTTCTTTGCTTTTTCTGTTATTGATTTCTACTTTTATGGCTTTATGGTCAGAAAAGATGCTTTGTAATATTTCAGTGCTTTGGATTTTGTTAAGGCTTGCTTTATGGCCTAATATATGTTCTATTCTGGAGAGTGTTCCATGTGCATTGGGAAAGAAAGTATATTTGGCTGCTGTTGGGTGGAGTGTTCAGTATATGTCTATGAGATCAAGTTGGTTTGTTGTAGCATTTAGATCTTCCGTGTCTTCATTGAGCTTCTTTCTGGATGTTCTGTCCTTCACTGAAAGTGATGTGTTGAATCTCCTACTGCTATTGTGGTGCTGTCTATCTTTTTGATGCTGTTAGAGTTTGTTTTATGTATTTTGGAGCCCTGTTGTTGGGTGTGTAAATATTTATTATAGTTATATCCTCCTGGTATATTGACTCTTTAATCATTATATAGCATCCTTCCTTATCCTTTGTGGTGGATTTTACTTTAAAGTCTATTTTGTCAGAGATTAATATTGCCACTCCTGCTCTTTTTTGGGTATTGTTTGCTTCATATATTTTTTTTCCACCCTTTGAGTTTTAGTTTGTTTGTGTCTTTAAGTGTCTTTAAGGTGTGTCTCTTGTAGGCAACACATAGACGGATCGTGTTTTTTTATCCAATCTGCCATTCTTTGTCTCTTTATTGGTGCATTTAGTCCATTTACATTTAGAGTAATTATTGATAGGTATGAGTTTAGTGCTGTCATTTTGACATCTATTTTTGTGTGCTGTTCGCACTTTCTTTGTTCCACTTAATTTTCTGTGCTGAGTCTTTTTTCTTTATGTATTTTCATCTTTTTCATTGTTGTTGATTTTGTATTTGCTGAGTCTTTATATTTTTCTAGTTTTTTGTTTTGACTTGTAGTATTGATAGTTTCCTTTGTGGTTACCTTAATATTTACCCCTATTTTTCGAAGTTTATACCAGTCTTTTATTCCTTTATATCGCTTTGACTTCCTCTCCATCTGAAAAATCTATGTCTACATTTTTTAAATCCCTCCTTTTTGTTTTACTGTTGTCATCTTTTACGTATTGACATCTGTTTCCCTATTTTCAGTGTTTTAGCTTTGGTTTACTTTTGTGACTTCCCTATCTGGGCTTATATCTGGTTGCTCTGTCCTGTGTTCTAGTCTTGGGTTATTATCTGATGTTATTGATTTTCTAACAAGAGGACTCCCTTTAGTATTTCTTGTAATTTTGGTTTGGTTTTTGCAAATTCCCTAAACTTCTATTTATCTGGAAATGCCCTAATTTCGCCATCATATTTGAGAGACAGTTTTGCTGGATATGTAATTCTTGGCTGGCAATCTTTTTCCTTCAAGGCTTTATATATGTCATCCATTGCCTTCTTGCCTGCATGGTTTCTACTGAGTAGTCCGAGCTTATTTTTATTGACTCTCCTTTGTAGATGACTTTCCGTTTATCCCTAGCCACTCTTAAAATTCTCTCTTTATCTTGGTTTTGGCAAGTTTGATTATAATAGGTCTTGATGACTTTCTTTCGGGATTTACCTTACATGGTGTTTGATGAGCATCTTGGATAGATATCTTCTCGTCTTTCATGATATCAGGGAATTTTCCTGCCAATAAATCTTCAGCAATTCTCTCTATATTTTCTGTTATCCCCCCTGTTCTGGTACTCCAGTCACTCGTAGGTTATTCCTCTTGATAGAATCCCGTATAATTCTTAGCATTTCTTCATTTTTTAAAAACTGTTTATCTAATTTTTCCTCAAGTAAGTTTGTGTCAAGTGCTTTATATTCAGTAATTCTGACTTCCATTGCCTCAATTCTGCTCCTCTGACTTCGATTGAGTTGTCTCATTCTGAAATTTTATTGTTAATCTTCTGGATTTCTGATTGCTGTCTCTCTGTGGATTCTTGCAGCCTGTTAAATTTGTCATTATGCTCTTCTCTAATCTTTTAAATTTCCTCTCTTGTGTGTTCTGCATTTTGTTAATTTCCTTCCTAATCTCTTGAGGAGTTCTGTATATTAATCTTTGGTATTCTGTCTCTGGTAATTCCAAGAAATTTTCCTCCTCTGGAAAATTTCTAAATTCTTTATTTCGGGAGCTTACTGAAGCCATCATGGATTGCCTCTTTATGTGATTTGATTTTGACTGTAATCTCCAAGCCATCAATAAGTTATTATGTTTATTTATTTTATGTTTGCTTACTGTGTCCTAGCTTCTTGTTTTGTTTTGACATGCCCAAATAGGCTGCTCAAGTGAGCTAGTTTGATTATTGGCAACTTTGAAGCTCTAATGTCCTGTCACCAGATGGTTAGATCTGTTACTAGGTATGTGAACTCAGGAGTCCACCCACTCCTCCTGTATGGATTCAGCTCAGGTGCCCAGGTAGATAACCACCAAGTGTGTGATGCAGACTCTCATCTACAGTCCTAGACAGGCATGGGTGATTGGTGTAGGCACATGCATCTGGCTGCAGCAGCGGGACACACTCTGAGCAAGGCAGGGTGCTGACAGCTGCCCCCGAGTGTCCTGGAGGAAGATGTGTCCCTGTTCCCTAGAGCGCATAGGTGGGTGGGTTTTGCATCTGGACTATGAGCACCTAAAGCTGTTGGCTGTAAGACTGGGGGGCACCTCTTATTCTTGGGCTCCTATAGTAGGTGGCTAGGTGGCATGGGTGGAGCCACCAGTCCTCAGGCCCCTGATGTGGGTAGGTGAAGATCCTGCTTAATGGGCAGAACAGTGTCAAATGTCAAGAACCTGCCACTTCATAGCTGAAAGAGTTGAAGTTAGATTTTCAGGTATACACCCTGTTGTACTGCAGTAAATGAGGGCCTACACTGTTTAAATGGGCCCACACAAGTCTATGCAGGTGGAAAGACACTCAAAGTCCATGGATCCCCTATGCCTTTGCCTAGGCAAAGGAGCTGTGCCTACCCTGAGTTCCTGGCTTAGGGGAGGCAGCAGTTTATTTTTTCCTCTGTTTGTTAATTTGTTCACTCTCCAAAGCCGGGAGAATGGCTCAGGGTATGTGACAGATCCTACTTCCTGTCCAGGGGACTTGGCAATTACTGAAGCCAGTCTGGGACCCAATGCAGTGCAGGGAGTGAGGAGGTAAATGGGAGAGAGGTTTTTCCCTACGGGGGTTATTTTTGAACCAAGCAATAGACCAGATGTAAGTACTTATCTTTCGCTGATCAAGGGCTGCTTCTCAGTGCTTCTGGGTGGCCGATTATACTCTCTTCCCCTGGGTCTCTCCTGGAGCGGAAAACATGCCTCCTGAGCATGGCTGCTTGC